TAATCGTGACTAGTCGACTAATCGTGGCAGCCCTAATCAGAAGTAGGGAAATTGGAGTAAACAAAGTGTGCTGAGCAGTAAATGTGCTATCTTAAAACAGAATCTAAACAATGACGTGTAAAGCAGGTTAGGGAAACAGAAAGTGAAAGAGAGTGGACAGGGATAGGGAGGAGATGCAAAGTGGGAAAAATGTGGACAGTTTTCTTGTTAACTGCTGTTTTTAGCTTTAGCAAGCACATAGTCTCTGAATTCCTCATCTAATTTGGAAAATCTGTGGACTTGCCAAAGCATTAGTTTGGCTGTAATTGCCCGGGTAGCAGCACAGATGATGTCCAACGAGATCTGGTTGGAGAAGTGACCGAATCGTCCTAGCAGGTCAGACTCTGTCTTTTTACACTTAAGCCACCTCGCAGCAGTGAGAGGGCCGGGGCTGTGGGCCCTCCTTGCTCTCCCACTGACAGATCACTAACCAGAGTGTGTGTATCTCTGCTGCCTTCTCCCACCCAGATTAGAAAAAACACTGAGGAAGGGTTTCCATTACAGTCGTGCCATGAGCTTTCATGTTTTAATGGCGTTCTGCGTACTGCGCTCCCCCCACTGCCACAGAGAGAGTGGTGTTGGAGGAGAAAATAGCCTCATTCCTGAAGAAGGGAGTAATAATGTCAGTCTTCTAGTCTGAGGCTCAGAAGAGCTTCTTCTCCAGTGTTTGTTGTGTTGAAACAATTGTAAAACCTTAGCATTCAAGAAAGGATGGTTCAAATAAAACAGAGGCTTTAGACTAGATATAGGTAGATGCCTTTATCAGCTTTTTTTAGATTGATTTTTTTGTTCAAAAAATGAAAACAACACATCACATGTTGTTTTTGATATCGCACGGTGCTAATTTATAATCGGCGTCTGCGACCGAGATGCAGCGCAGGTGGATTTTGTCTGCGTTGCTTTGCTGATGCATTTGCTTGGTTGCAGTTTTTGTCTGTGCAGCCTTTGTTGTTGCATTGCTAAATTACTGCATCAAAACCACCAACTATTCATGAACTAACTGCAGGATGTGCGTCGTTCACGGAGACAGAAGACGCTGTTTCAGTGGGAAACTTAAAGATAAACACTTTGTCACATCGAGTGTTTAATCTCAATGATTCATAGACTACTCTCCTGAGAGTGTCAGGGAGAATGAGACACACAGGGGTTTTAAGTGAATCACAGCCCATCTTACTTATAAATGTAGATGGTTCATAGTGCCGTTAAGGGCGTATGGTATGTCTGGTTAACGTTTGCGCATAGGAACATGCGTATTAGCCCGTGTCTACATGGAAAACCATGTTTGACCCGTGGGCACGGCTGCCAGCAACCTCACACCCACTCTTCTATGTGATCGCCTCTCACACAAGTGAGATGTTGCCTGTTCTCAAGCTTTGCTCCTACTTGAGAACAGGCTCGGTAATGAGTCACTCTAAGGTGTCAGAGTGTTGATAGCCTAACATGTTTTTGCATAACCTGACATTATCGTCAGCGTGTCCGCGAGCCCCCTCCTCTGCTTTCACAGCAAGTTGCCATTTTCCTCCTGCCTCATTGTTACTGTCGCAGCTTCTGATGCAGGCGATGATAAACTCAGGGGTGGAAGGCCATCGCGTACACTCACGAAACACGAGCACAAATGATGCGCTGCAGCTTTTCTCTTCCCCGCTCAACACTGGCCGCACCTTTGTTATTCCATCATAAATCCAAGTGTGGACCTTTTAAATAAATTATGAGTCCGCCTCATCAAGAGGGAGGTGATTGGTTACGCTGCAGCCAGTCAAAGAGAGAAAGGTCCCTACTTTCTAACATCTGCTTAGCCATCAAATATTAAACTTAAGCTTCTGTAAAATGGGGGTCAAGTCCTCCAGCAGGGGCAGCGAGCCTCTCGCTGACTACTTGAAGATGACAAAATGATGAACTGGAGAGTGGCATTTCTATAACAAGAGTGACATTTAATTTTCAACCGAGTAAATGTCCCTTTGCTAAGAATAGGCCGGGCTCCACTGTATTACATCATCAAGTGTAGTTTATGTGTTGAGATTTTGCGTCATATATTTAAGCTCAGTGAATATGTTTATTTTTGCATGTATTCCTTTTTTTTTTTTTAAACATTTTAAGATTAAAAGATAGAGCTCATAACAGTTTGGTCAGTTGGTGTCTCTGAACTAAACACTGACAAATATACATGAATCAATTTGATTACTGCAAAAGCCGTTTACAATAATGATTAATGAGCATCCCAGCTTGGGCTTTGGAATTGTGCTTTTTATTGATAAATTTAAGGATAAGCGGAAGCGAATGGATGGATGGATGGATTGATAAATTTATTAGGTACAAAAATAATTGGCAGGTTTACGATTAGCATACACTCACTGGACAGTTTATAACGTGTACCTCTTCAAGAGTGGAGCAGTTAAGATAGGCAGGAAAAAGGGGAAGACACACAGCAAATGGCAGCAGGTCAGTCTCAAACCCAGGCTGCTGCACTCTGGTCATGTGGCATATGGTCGCCTACTCACCCACTGAGCTAAACTGGGGCCCCGTTCAACTGATTCTGAAAGCCAACGTCTAATCAACCAATCGCATGGCAGCAACTCAGTGCACCTAGCTGTGTAGTTGTGGTCAGGATGATCTGCTGAAGTTTAAATTGAGCAAATTGGGAAAAAGGGTGATTTAAGTGACTTTGAATGTTTTGTGCTTATTGGTGTCAGAAACTGCTGATCTGCTGAGATTTTCCTGCACAACCATCTCCAGATGGTCCGAAAGAGAGAAAACATCCACTGAGTGTCAAATCTCTGGGTGCAAATTCCTTGTTGATAGCTGAAGTCAAAGAAAAATGCCCAGACTGCTGAACGGACAGCGATAGTAACTCACATAATCACTCTTTACAATCAAGGTATGCAGAAGAGTATCTCTGAATGTACAGCATGTTGAATCTAGTAGTTTTGGTACAGCTGTAGACAAACACAGCAGGTGCCACTCCCATCAGCTAACAACAGGAAACTGAGGAAATTCACCAAAATTGAGCAATAGAAGTTTGGAAAAACGTTGCCTAGTCTGATCAGTTGCTTTGAGCACAACAAACGATCCTCCGTAGTCGTCACTCAGAACATCTCAGAACATCAGAGCACCCTTGGCATGTGGCAGGTTGCCATCATGGATGTGCAGCTGGCAAATTTGCAGCGGCTTTGTGATGTAATCATGTGAGTATGGGCCAAAATATATGAAGAATGTTTTCCAGCACCTTGTTGAATCTGCGCCATGAAGAATTAAAGCACCTCTGAGTTCAGAAAGGGGTCGACGACTACTACAGTTGCAGAGTGCGAACTATCCAGTGAGTGTCTGTTTGTTAATTCGTCCTAATGATGCCACATGTTAAACTTCAGCGTGTGGAAATAATACTCAAGGGAAGCTATTAACATGTTTGACTTCATACAAAACAACACAGTTTATTCTGAACACAAATGTCTGTGGTCACATGTGTAAAGAAGAAAAATCAGATCTCTCAATGTGACACTTGAAATAAAATACTGAAGGAAAGTTAA